ATATGCAGTAGGGAGGATTTAAAGGCAAATGGTTTTCCAAGGTCTACAAAAGGCAGTTTAAACAGAAAGGATTTTCTAAGGGGAAATGGTAATGGCAGGATAACTAAACCAGAAAGAAAAAAGAAGAAGGAAGCTCTCTGAGTTGCTGGAAGTGTAGTGTTTTTGTAGTGACTGATTTTTCAGGCTGAAGTGCAGGTACCTGTCCTGAGCCATGTCACAGAACTGTATTCAGATTTATTGGTGAGAAAAGATGCTCAGAGAACAACTAACCTGGATCCTATATTCACGGGGATGGTTTTGTATATAGTGCATTCTCTTTGGTAATTCTTCTATTAGTTTCTTTCCACTCCTACACAGTTCATGGTGATGGGGGGAGAGGTTGGAAGGGAGGAGTCCTCTTCTGAAATCCTTCTGCTGTTCACTCTGTAGATTTTCATTTATTAATAAATTGTGCATTTAAGTAACTGAGGAATCTCAAGTCCCCATCTTTTTTTTCATAGTTGATTAAGAAACTTTGTGTTTTAGATTTCAGAAAGTTGAAGAAAGAGTTTAGGATTCCTCCTGTTAAATGAATGGGATATGCCAGTAGAAGTATATAAACATGAGACTTGTGTAGTTTAGAGACCTAAACTACAGGGAGTGAAGCAGAATCATGACTGCAAGCTTTCACTTTTGGATAGTTCATGTGTCTCTAAACATCTCTGGACATTTTTCACTCTTTAGACTGAGATTTGTTGCTTCACCAATGTTGTGTGATGTATTATTTAAGATAGATTAATTGGAATTTCTCTTTCAGTTTGAGGACATAATGCATTTTATACACATAAAAATTCAGCCTGGTCTACAAGACCTAGTTCCAGGACAGGCTCCAAAAGCTACAGAGAAACCTTGTCTCGAAAAACCAAAAAAAAAAAAAATTGATTATTATTATTTCACTGTGGATCTCACCTTATTTAAAAAAACTAAACACATTCATCAGGTGATGCACTGAGTGTCAATTCTACAGGAGCTCCACGGGAGAAGGAAGATCTCTGCTGTTGCACTGTTGTGACTCTAAATAATGGTGATTTTGAAAGAGCTGGAAGATAAGATTTCTAAAGTTTTCAACACAAAGAAATGATGAATGTTTGAGGAGATTGATTACACTTATTTGGGCTTTTTATAATGTACAAACGTTCATAAACAGGCAGTACTTCATAAGTTTGTACAGTTTTATCCATAAATTATACATTTTAAATAAAAGATCATGAAATCTATTTTTGATAACTAGTGAAAAATCATTGTATTATATAATCATGATCACCGATTATTATTATTCAATATGTGAAAACATGCTTTATATATTCTTCTTTCCCATCAACTATAATAAGTTAATATTATAAACAACACTTTGTACATGTAGTATAATTTTATACTATTACAAAATCATATTCAAGTATGTATAACCACACAGTGCATTTTATTATCATAATCTTTCATAAAGATAATTAATTAACATTAATAAAACATAAGTTGAACTACAACTAAAGGTATTGATCACATTATATTTCTTTTTCAGTAGAATGGGAACTGAATTTTCAGAGTATATCTATGTGTCTGTTGGTTAGAAATATGGTTTACATAAAGTCCATCAAAACATCATGAAGTAGATTTCCACACATTAATATTTTGTTTATTGATCTTATATTTAGAATCTAGCTTTTTTCTACAACGTGGAGACATTTAATCAAACTGCATCATATGTATTTACTCTGTGTTATGTGTGATCCTTGGGCAACATTACAATTAATATCAGATACATAATATATAAAATCTAGAAGAGATATGATGATCAACTTTGAACTGCTATGGTGTTTGCTGGCATGATTCTATAAACAGCGTTTTATTCTATTTACCACAAGTCTACTTGTAACAATCTATACTTATATATTCAACAATAAAGAAGAGTCATGACTTAGAATGCTACACAAATAAAGTGTACGTTCTTATCTGTCATTAATTCCACACTGATCCCTTTGCAAATATAGTACTACAGAGGAGGAAATGCAGACCTATCAAATCAAGAGATTTGACAAGTTGTGTTTCAGGTGACTATGGGAGCCTGGATTTAAGCACATGTGTTCTACTTTGATGCCATCTTTGGGGCATTATATGACTCTTCAAATAATACAAATAGGAGAAAATCAAATTCCAAAAAAAAGCTACCCAGAGGAAGGAAGAAACACGCTTCTTAACTAAATTATGAGAAGATATAACTTAGCACATTCTGGCTGTGCTGTTTTAGAGCCTTGTCTTTCATATGTCACTTAAATCTGGATGTCAGTGATCCCTCTTCTGATATAGGTGGGTCTTCTTTCTGTGTGTTGCTTTCATTGGTTAATTAATAAAGAAACTGCTTGGCCAGGTAGGTCAGAACATACATGGGTGGAGTAGACAGAACAGAATGCTGGGAGAAAGAAAGCAGAGTCAGGCAGACACCATGATTCCCCTTCCCAAGATGGATGCTGGCTAGACTCATGCCGGTAAGCCACGACATCATGGTGTCATACAGATTATTAGATTTGGGTTAGTCAAGATGTGAGAGTTAGCCAATAAGAGGCTAGAACTAATGGGCCAGGCAGTGTTTAAATGAATACAGTTTTCGTGTAATTATTTCAGGTGTAAACTAGCTGGGGAGCCAGGATCCCTGCGGGACCACAGCCCACTGTTCCCATTTTACTACACCTCTTCCATGTGTGAACTTACACTGTAGTGATGGTGTGTAGAGTCTGGGTTTTACAGTATTACCTGCCAAGTCACATGTGTATAAGATGTAAGGCTCACTAACACTGCAGCAATGATTCCCTAAACTTTGTGCTTTATCTTTGCAAATAGATGCACTGGCTTGGTCAATATTTTGCAATTCCCCCAACCCAATTGCATAACAAAAGTACTGCCAGATCTTGCTCTATACAGTGTCACTTTCCCGTTACATTTCTATTTAAATCTTTGGATGATTTCACATCAATTATCAGCTCTACATGATTAGACAATTGACCTACATTTTGTCATCAAAATATATCCATTACTTCTGATGCTTTTCAATCTTGAATCATCAGCTTTTTAGTATGATAATATTAAATTCACAGTCAGGGTCATGTCCTTGTTCATTTTCTCTTTTATTCATGTACTACCAAAGTAACCAGTATGTATTCATCAGCATTTAATCAAATGTCTCACTGGTCCTTCAATTTCCTCGGATCCACATTATCTTCCAGACAGCAGGAGGAAGAGATACCTCTCATCTGGATTTGTGACGTTTAGAATCTGTGCTACATAAATCAACTCAATGATTGAATTTTCTATTATTTACTTGTTTATTTACTCTTTCTAGTCCACTTGTTAAAGATGAGTCTGAACTTTTACTATATTTTATATATTACATTTTTGACGTTTTTATCTGTGAATCTTAGAAGTCAAAATGCAAGAATTGGTTCAGTTCTTGTATGATGTGAGTCTCAGGAATCAAAATGGTTAAGTTTCATATCAGACACTTTCATCAACTGAACTTTGTTTTCAGCTCTTAATTTACTATTCCTAAACCCTTAGTTGCGTTTAGTTTAAGGTTAATGAACTAATAAAAATATTCAACATTTTCTATCATTAATTATTCTATTAATTGTCATAAAAATTCTATTTTTTATATTACCTCCATAGTTAAGTGCTTATTGATGTGAAAGTTAAGTGTGGAAATAAATTATATACAGTATATGTAAATACACAAAATGGTCTTTGTAATTTGAGCAGGGCTAAACAGGTTAGTATTGATTGGTATCGTCATTTCTTCTCTATGCTAACAGATACAACTATTAGATAGTAGGTGAGTTTATTCTTATCCAAATTTATTTAAAACAGTGAACTGGGATGTCTCACATTTCAGGACCAGCTTACTCCAGGACGTAATTAAGTTTCCAGACAAATAATCTCACAGTAGACATTAATAACCTCTCCTTTGAAAAATGACCCCCCCCCCCATTAGTCTCTGTGAGTTTCCTGAAAGAATCTCCATTTTCCTCAGTTGTTGTTTAAGACAGGATCTTTTCCTCCTTTCTTGGGCCTCCTGACTATTTTGTTCTCTTTAAAGAGCCCAGCACATAGATTCTGTTGCATTTCCCATTTTAGGCTTCAAGGTTCATGTGTAAGGTGCCAATGCAGCTCATTATCTCTGTCAGGAATACAGACCTGGTACTAATCCAAGGAATCTCACAGAAGGTTCATTCCTAGTCTACCCCTCACATGTGTGTGTGTGTGTGTGTGTGTGTGTGTGTGTGTGTGTGTGATTTTAACAAATCTTTTAAATTCTATACTCTCAGTCTTGAGACAAGAATCATCATACATATTTTGCAAGGTGTTGAAGAAACCCAACACAGTAAATGATCAAAATAAGCTAACAAAGAGAAGACATTTTAAGATATTGTAAGACTTGGAACCAATGCCTTTGTAGTTTTGTATATCTTTCACTTTAATTTGACAAAGACACACCAAAGTGACAACTCAGGACACATTTGAGGTTGTACATATTGGTTACCTTGTTCTCTAATCATTCTAACTCTATCACTATCCAATAAGCTACTGCTCAAGAAGAGAGAATAAAGAAAGGAGAGGGGAGAATATGTACAAGGATTACTGAAAAATTTTAATCATTGTATCTGTGGTAGGTTCTTGTTGCTATCTCATGTTGACCTTGAACTCATGTTCCTCTTGCAACAGTCCTATTATTTCTAGGTATATAAACATGTGTGACTATGTTACAAGTTCATTTTAGCAATCTCAGAAAGGAAGTTTTATAAAGAAATTGAGTTTCCAAAATGCAAGAAATCAAAGGTTTAAACCTGATTTGTGCAGCCTGCCAATTTGTTTCCTGAATTAATTCTTAGTATGCTACTGAGTAAATTGGCTTTATTTTTAAACTGTCATTTACTTATTTCAACACTAATTTTTTCTACTTTTTTTCCTTATAGGTCTTCTGAGGAAAATTGTGAAGGCTTATTTATGCTTCTAAAACAAAAAAAAATTCAATTGTATTTTGGAATAATCATTTTACAATTACCCTTGGGAAATTTCAAGATACTGAAGTTATACTCTTTGTTGTTTTCTCACATATTAGCCTTCTTTTACTTTATCAGCTTCATAGTTATCCCATCATTATTCATAATTTTTCCAATAATATGTAAACCATAATAATAACCAAACAACAAAGTGATAAAAGTGTCTAGAAATGTTAGCATTAGATAATATTATAAATCAAATCAATATAATAGATATTTATAAAACATTTCACCCAAACCCAAAAGAATACACCTTCTAAGCAGCTCGTCAAAATTTCTCCAAAACTGACCACATACCAGCAGAAAAAGTATGTCTCAAGATATACAAGAAAATTGAAATAACGCTATGTACCCTATCTGACTACTGTGGATTAAAACTAGATATCAGAAACAACAGAAATCTCAGAAACTCCTCAAACTGCACAACTAACTGCTGAATGAAAAATGGATCAAGACAGGTAGTATAAAAAATTTACAATTTTTACTATTTAAAAATTTACATTTATTTTTAATAATGTATTTTTCATATAATATATTCTAATTATGGTGTGCTCTTCCCAAACTACTTCAAGATCCTTCCAAATCCCCAGTGAAAATGAAAACACTGAATACCCAAATCTGTGGTACACAATGAAGGTTGTTCCAATAGGCAAATTCATAACACTAAGTGGCTACATTATAAAAGCAGAGATATCTTCCACTAATAAATTAAGAGCATATTTAAAAGTTCTAGATCAAAAATAAAAAAACACATCCAAAGGGAGTTGATAGTAATAAACAAAGACATGTCAAAGCTGAAATCAATATAATAACAAACACCACAAAGATAAATGAAAGGAAGATTTATTTTTTGATAATGATCAATAAAATTGATAAAAACAAAACTTAGCAAAACTAACTAAAAGAGACAGAGAAAAGATTCAAAATAACAAAATTAGAGAGCAAACGAAAAACATCAGGACAGACACTGAAGAAATCCAGAGAATCATCAGGACGCAATTTAGAAATCTGTATGTATTTCACTAAACTAGAAAACCTAAAAAAAAATGGATAAATTTCTTGGTATATGCGATCTACTAATGTTAAGTCAAGATCACATAAGCAATTTAAACATATGTATAACCCTCAGTGCAATAGAAACAGTATTTAAAATTTATTCAACAAGAAAAAGTCCAAGAATTAAGCACGGAATTCTACTAGATCTTCAAAGTTGTTTAATACTTCTCAAATTATGCTTTAAACATAAACACAGAAGAAACATCACCTAATTCTTTTTTATGAGGCCAAATTTACCCTGATATCAAACTATACAGAGACTCAACAGACAAAATTAAAGACCAATTTCTCTTATGAACAAAGAGGCAAAATTTCTCAATAAATTAATTGCAACCAAACATAAGAACACATCAGAAAAAAGCATATGTAAATCGACATATGTAAAACAATAAATATAACCCAATATATAGAAAAATTGAAAGATTAAAAGCACATTAAATGCAGAAAATGCCTTTGAAAAAATCCAGTATTTCTTCATGATAAAAATTTTGGATAGATTGGGAATATGGGGGCTATATATAAACATGATATAAGAGATTTTTAGGAAGGCTACTGTTAAAATAAATGTAAATGAAGAAAACTCAAATCATTTCCACTAAAATTAGAATAAGACAAGATTGCCCATTTTTTCATATCTAGTTAATATTAGTACTTGAAGTCTTAGCTAGAGCAATAAGAGACTGAAGAGACTGAAAGTAGTAAGTTAAGGTATATTTACTTGGAGATGATATGTTTGTATAAATAAATGACCCTAAAGACTCTAAAAAAAAAAACTTCGACAGTTAATAAACATTTTCAGCAAAGTTGCAGGATACAAAATTACAACACAAAAATCAGTAGCCTTCCCAAATACAAATGACAGACCAAGAAAGAAATCAGAGAAACTCTCATAATAGCCTCAAATAAAATGCAAAGTATTTTGGCGTACCTTTAATGAAGCAAGTAAAAGACTTATACAATAAAAACTTTAGGACCTTGAAGAAAGAAACTGAAGAAGATACCCAAAAATGGAAAGATTGCTCATGTTTATGGATCAATAAGGTTAGTATAGTGGAAATGGCCATCATACCAAAAACCAAGCTACAGATTAAAAAATAATAATAAAGTAAAAATTCCAACACAATTCTTCGTAGAAATTTAAAGGACAATTTTCTGCTTCATGTGGAAATATAAAATTCTAGGAGAGCTAAAGCAATCCTGCATAAAGAAAGAACTGCTGGAGGTAGCATATTCCTCAATCTCAAATTGTACTACAAAGCTATAGTAATAAGAAGATCATCATATTGACATAAACAGATATATATATATACCAATGAAGTCAAATTGAAAACACATTCATAATTCCACACAACTATGGACACATGATTTTTTACAATGATGCTTGAAATACACACTGAAAAAGAGATAGCACCTTCAAGATATACTGCCGGTTATACTAGGTGTCTGTATAGATAGGTATTTGTCACCCTTAACTAAACTTAGCTCCACATTGATCAAGAAACTCAATAAGGTAGAGCAGTGGTGGCACATGCCTTTAATTCCAGACTCAGGAGGCAGAGGCAGGCAAATCTCTGTGAGTTTGAGGCTAGCTTGGTCTACAAAAGCTAGTTCCAGAACAGGCTCCAATGTTACAGAGAAACCCTGTCTTGAAAAAAAAAAAGAAGAAGAAGAAAAGAAAAAAGAATGAAAGAAAGAGAAATTCAATATAGGGTAAGAAACCTTAAATCTGATAGAAGACAAAGTTGGGAATAAAGTAACTAGTGGGAGGGAAGAATTCTCTATGGAAACAGAAATAGGATATATAGTCAGAGATAAACAGGGCTGGTAGAGCCTAGAGTGGCGGAACTACAAGGAGAGAGTAAGGAAAACAGGATAAAGAGGTTATATGGGGTGGGATATACAACACTGAGGGCTGTCTGAAGTGTCAGGCAGAAACCTACACCATTGCAAGCTACTTAAGATATACACATATCTGAAAGATATCCAAATGAAATAACAGATAACAGGGGAGACAAAGACTCAGCTAGATATCTCTCACTACAAAATAATACCTACAATGTTAGAAATAGGTTATACCTACTTGACTTGTTTGACAAATGGGCCCCATGGAAACCTTCAAACAACTCAGGTTATTACCAAGTCATTGATTATTCTCCACAAAAAATGATGGTGAAGTCCCATTGCTGAAGACAAGTATATATCTCATAGAACAGGGAGAGTTCAAGCTGATGGAGAGCCTACACTCCAACTGACAGTCTACAATGGTGACATGCATGCAAAATGTGTGAGTGCAATAGGGGCACAAAGGTTGTGGGAGTAACCAACCAGTGTCTAAGATGGAATCCATTCCATTCTGTATGGTCAAGAATTTGAGACTAGATTGGACAAGGGCCTAGGGAAAAACCAAATACTATAGTTCATCTCAAGAAATGTAGCAATAAACTCTCTTCTATAGTCATAAATCAGATAATGTATGGATATCACCATAGCAGCCTTTACTTGCAGTAGACGGTGTAGAAAAATGTAAATAAGAACAGGAATTGAATCCAGCAGCCAAGCGAGAAAGGAGAGAGAGAGCAGGCATGTGGGCATGCACACTTTTGGTACCCAAGGCCACATCCAAGCTGGTCCAGCATCTCAAAGGCCATTGGCTGAAGGAGGTTCCCCAACAAGATGGAAACAAACACATTGGAAAATGTACGGAGAAAGAGAGACCCTGAAACACTCAGTTCTATATAAAATATCTCCATTAAATCTCTCCCTCAGGGCTCTGCAATCTATACCCAAGAGGAGGAAGAAAGATTTTTGAATCCAGAAGAAATGGTTGATACCAAGAAAACAGTGTATTCTAGATACAACAGGTTTGGTACAAATATGCACATACTGATACTATGGAATCATGCACATGACTTTCATGGGGAACTAAAAGAAGTCCCATCACTGAGAGGGGCCTTGGACACAAACTTCTATCCTTGATCAAGAAGTTATTTCTAACTAACAACTTCTTACAAAGAAGAACAGTTTCTTAAAGGGATTTCTCACTGGGTATACAGACCACACTTAAGGGCATATCCCTTGCTCAGCAATACATGGCAAACATAATAAACATGTAGAATTTTTTGGAGAATTTTTCCTTCTGTTTCCTGTCTGTATTTTTTAAACTTTGAGAAAGAATTTTATGTTTTTTGGGGGGTGTATACATGTATGTTTATGTATGTTCATATGTGTATGTGTGTGCATATGTGTGTGTTTCTTGAGCTTCTTAGTCTTTTTTGTTAGCTTAATTTTTATGTCTCTGCCTTCTTTTTCTTGTTCAATTTTTTTAAGACAGAGAAAGTTGTGGAGTTGAAAGATTGGAAGGTGGAGAGGATCTGGGAGGAGATGAGGGAAGAGAAACAATGATCAGAATATTTTGTATGAAAATAACTTTAATTTCAATAAAAATTAAGTTTAAAAAAATCATTAAAGTCCAATCGAAAGATCATAATATAATGAGAGGATTAACTTTCTCCTCAAAGATCTTTCTAACTTAAAATCCATAACTTGGAATATAGGATATACAAGAATAGCTTATTGCATCCAGATAGAAATTTGGTAAGGTAAATATCTTCCCTCGATTTTAGAGAATAAATGACTAAATTTAGGGAAGAAATGACTAAAAAGGAAAATGAATTACCTTGACATAAGTTATTGACTCAGTAAAGGTCATACTGTCATGATATAATCTTTTTGTACACTGTGAAGATGTGTCTGTTTTACTTCACCTGCCTAAGATTATTTCTGATCGGTTTAATAATAATTAAAAAAGAACAGAATTGTCAAAAGACAGGCAGAAAAGAATAGATGGGACTTCCAGGGAGAGAGGAGAACTCCTGTGGGATGGAGATCTAGAGGCAGAGGGTTTCAGTAAGATGTTGAGGAAATCAGACATACAGTACAGAGGAGAGGTAACAAACCACGTGGCAGAATGTAGGTTGATATAAATAGGTTATTTTAAGTAATAAGAGCTAGTTGGGACAAGCCTGAGCTTCCATAATTAGCAAGTCTTTGTGTCATTATTTGGACGCTGGTGATCCAAAGAAAGTCCTGGTACATCATATAGTTGTGAGAATTGTAATCATAAAACAACTTCTGGGGGATGCACTTCAAGTTATAGTAAAAATTTATTCATAATAGCTACAGAGGTGAGGAATTGAGGGGAAAGTGTGATACAGTTATCAACACAAAGCATACCAGTCCTGGTAACTACGCTAAATACTGACCTTGATTCATTCATCTACAGTGAATATCAAGATGTCTGTGTGCCCTGAGATTTTTCTACTTATAGATATTTTCTCTTCTTAAGCCTGAGTGACTCTGCTAAGAAATCCAGATAAGTTCATTATACCTAAGTTGAAGTTCACAAAGAAAGAGTATGACAAGAGCAATTTTGATGCTCCTTTTCAAACTCCTAAAATAATAAAGTTTGGGGTAGAAATGTTATTTAAGGAAAAATATTCTTAGCCACAAGACGTTGAATACAAAATGGGAATTACAAAAGGTCAGTGTAAATGAGCTGAAAGTTTTATTTTGATCATCTGTGCAATTGATTTTAAATACAACAAAACACAAAATAAACCAGAATAAATTGAATCTTGGGATTGAAAATAATGTCTGTATTGTCTAGTTTTTGTAGTTGTCTCATAAGACAGTGGACAAATGAATCATTTTAATCCTAGGTGAAAGTTGATCATCAATTTCAAGACTGCACAGGACCAAAAGACCAAATCTTTCTTTCCCTCCCTCTCTCTGTCTCTACACAAACTATACTGAAAAATACAGGCTGAAACACTGCAAAAATATACAGTTAACTGATTTATGGTTGTTGGATTACTAAAGTCTGAGATAATATAATAGTTTACTTTTCCCAAAGAATTATCTACAATGTTCAAAATATTTATTAAATTGAAAGAAAGTAAATTATTCCCTTTACAGATTTATACAGCATTTCCTTCTTATGACTCAAATTAAAGATAAAGTGAATGAGTACAGGAAAGTTAATCACATACAACAAACTGGTTCAGTCTTCCCAGATTACTCAGTCATTTGCTCTGGTCTCTGTAACTGAGGTAGGGATTATCATTATCATAGAGAACTGTATATTAACTGCTCATTGCAGAGTAGAAAGGCACTTTTAATTTATGTTGCTATATTGTTGAAATGCCAGTTTAAACTTTTAAAGACACTCAGAAGTATTTTTGTTTGATGAGATATAAAGGCAAAACTTGGTACCTGATGTTACATGGCCACCAGTAAGGGTTCGTTTTCATTTGCACTACAAAAGGGTTCCTTTTGAGAGCAGAACAGCAATCACGAGGGATTACTGAATTCCAGAGGGAAAATTCAAATGATAGTTTTAAAAACTCATTACCAATAATTAATAATGAACTCCAGCTAAACAATAATAGGTGTTCCAGGATTCCAAACAGAAGCAGATGGAAGCAGGAGTATTTGATAAATACTAGATACATACTGGGCAATAAGCTTGACAGGAATCATTTCATTCTCTGATTGAAACCCAGAATAAGTATCATATCATTGGCTTTTTCCCAAATCCATTTGACCTCATAAATCATTTTGTTCATTCCTTACATTTAAAATTGCTCATTACATTCTGTGTTCTAGCACTCTTTTTTTTTTTTTTTTTGGCACTAAAACCTTGACAAGGAGAGGAGAGTGTAATCCTCTTTTGTTTCACTTTTGAAAAACCAAATAGTTTGTGAACCTTGACTTT